CACACACACAATAAATAAATAAATAAATAAATAAATAAATAAAATTAAAAAAAGAAAAAAGAAAATTCATGAAGCTGCATGTGGACGTGCAGACCCTGTCGGTGTGGACGCTCACCTGCAGCAACGTGACACTATGTCAAAGGAGGAAAAGGTGCACGTCGGAGGAGTGGAAAGGCCCCTTGTGGCAGAGGCGCAGGCACCAGGTGCTGCTGGCAGGGGCCAGTGACAGGAGGGACAAGCAAAATGAAAGCAGCCACATGGGAGCTTCGGGATTATTTCAGGAGCTGAGCTGGAAAGAACTCTGTCCCCAAATAAGCACTTAGTGTTTGGCCCACCATAACTTGCTAAAAAAATATTTCTAATGAAACATAACTGGTCTTAGGGTTTGGTATTTTTGGTCTTTTGGTTTTTCCTGGTGGTACCAAGGATTGAACTCAGGACCTTGCCCTTGGCAGGCAGGTGCTTCTGCCACTGAGCTATCTCTCCAGCCCACACAATTGGTTTGAGAAGGGTTACCCTGGCACAAATTCTTTCTCAAACCAGAGCTGATTCAAGAGTTAACTTTAGAAATGCAGCAAAATGAAAGCAGTACAATGCAGAAAATGACAACAGCTTACACGCAAATAGATTACTTAGGAGAATTAGTTCAGAAAACTACAATTATTAAGAATAAAGTAAAAGAGAAAAAAAGACATTTAAAACATAAATAGGTTCAAGTTTTATGTAAAACCTGCTTCTTCCTTCCAGAAGCAAATTTTATTTATATATTTTGGGACTAAGTTTATAGCAAAAATCTCCAATGCAAATCTATGGTGCAGGTGAAAGGCCAGAGTATGAACTGGAGAATCACTCCATATGAGGAGGAATCTTTAGACAAGATTTTGTCCTGATTTTCTCCACCCAGCCTTTCTTTTCCTTTCATGAGTCCTGCAGAAAAGTCATAGTGATAAATTTGTTACACTGGCAGTATTCCCATGGCAACTGGCTGTGATAGCGGAGTGACAGCTCTACAGCAAGATCAAGTGGTAAAAAAGGACAGAATGATGACTTCGACTTTTTCTTTTAAAGCTCTTGGAAACCTAACCAGACACAGCACAGGAGGGAAAATTCCCTAGAAAAATCACACACTTCAAGGATGGCTTTTACAACTCAACTCCCCCGCAGAATTTTCTGTGGCTCTCCGTGGACCCTCACATCTCCTTCCGCAGGTATAACTTTGTCTTGCTTTCAGGAAGAGAGGCACTGCTCTGGGAAACAAAGAAGAAACTTCGCAGCATGGACTGAAACTGCTTGTGGCCAAGCTCCCGCCCTGCCAGGGACGGGGGGGGTGGGGGGGCAGCGTGGGGTCCCTGCATCACCCTGCAATGAGTGGAGAACCCACTAACAGGATCTGATTCTGGTCAAAGTCCTGCAGCCTTAAACAAGCAAATAATAAGAAAAATATAATTCTTGCTTTTGTAGCTAGTTTGTTAGATAAGTCAGTCTGAAATTAACGAGCCAACTTGGTTTCAGGAAATACAAAATATTTGCAAACTGTCTTCTCCAGAATGGCTGAAGGGTCTTTTCTGCACACTGTTCCTGGGATTGTCATTCTATTACTCAACTCTCCTGGCAACTTCTGAAACAGGTTTCATTATTTCTACTATTACAGAAAATAAACTAGAAGTTCAGAGGGAGCACGTGGCTCACAGAAGGTCAAAAAGCAAAGACTTCACTCGAACTACTCCATATTTAGGGACATCTCTTCTTTAAAACATTGGTTCCTTACAAGGCATATGTATGAATTGCAGAAATTGCAATAAAAATCACATAACTAAATTAGATAATACAGAGAAGAAAGAAAAAATTACTGGTAATGCCAACACCCTGAAAGCCTTTTCTATAACTTGGTATATAATCTCATCTCTATATACACATACAAAGACGTTAATACATGCATTGTAAATGATGATGTTATCATATAATGTACTCTATTTCCATGAAACAAGTAAAGCTCTATGTCAGATATTGGCAAGCTGGAAAGGTAACAAAGCCTGAGAATCCAACCTTCTCAAGATATGCCACCTCATAGGCTAAGCACGATGCTTTACTGGTTTAGGAACAGATGTGACAGACAGTTGGGCCTGACCTACAGAGTATTAGGGGACAGACACTTTCCTGACAGTGGTACAGAATGCTTCCCACCCCACGGATTCCCCCACACTCCTACTTGTTCCTGACTGACTTCATCCTGTACCAGGTGCTGCTTGCTGAAGGTCACCCAGACAGAAAAAGACAGTCTGGTTCTAAACTCAAGCACGGGCTCGGGGCTGTGCTTCTCAACCATGAGTCTATACTATATAAAGTAATGTCTATATTCATATGCACCCTTCTTATTACTAATAGGGTGGAACTATTTTTCATATAACTCTTCCTTGTAGCAGAATTTATTTTATTAGAATTGTAAGAGATCTTTACAAAGTCAGTCTAATAAGTTTTATCACCCAGGTTTGCTAAAAGTATTTTTTTTATGATTTACTGCCCTTTAGCTGTTTATATTTTTTATTTTTATGCATTAAAATTTATCACTTCTATGGTCTCTACTTTTGAGGTCAAAAAGCTCTTCTCTCAAGATTATGAAATCACTGAGCTAAATGTTAAGATTAATTTAAAAAAAAAAAAAAAAAAAAAAGGGCTGGTGAGATGGCTCAGTGGTCTAAAGCACCTACTTGGAACAAGCTTGGCAAAGCACAGGGACCGTGGTTCAATCCCCCAGCACCACATGCCAGCCAGCCCCGCCCCCTGGTGGGCTGAGCTGGCCACACACACACACACACACACACAATAAATAAATGTAAAATAAATAAATAAATTAATTTAAAAAAAATAAAATAAATAAATGTTAAGATTTATTAATCCACATAGAATTTAACTTTTGAATAATGATTTAAATAAAGATTTAACAGTGACTGTGGTTCAATCCCTGCTGTACCGTGCCAGCCCCGCCCCCAGAGGTGGGCTGAGACAGCGAATGAGACTGGGTGTGGTGGTGTGTGCCTTTAATCCCAGTGCTCGGGAGGCTGAAAACTGGAGGATCACTACAAGCCCGATCTGTGCAGTAGACCCGGTACTAAAATACATTAAAAAAAGATTTAAAATTAATTTTCCTGAATGCTTTGGCAATGGACAATACAATTGGCTAATTAAGTCTTTCCCCATTTATCTGAGACATCAACTTTATCATCTCGTAAAATCTTATGTGTTTTGGGGTTATCCATTCTTTTCATAAAGCTGTCAGTTCCCTGACAGTCTGACTGTTATCATATCTTTATGCTGTAACAAGCAGTGCTATCCCCAGATGCCACAGGTCTCAATAACACAGGTTACAATAATAGCATTTCAAGAGACAAATCCCAAGTTCAAAAGCATTTTTCAAATGACAATCAATCTTTTTTTAAAAATGTACTTGATACAGGATCTTACTATGCAGCTCGGACTTGTATTAATCCTCCTGTTTTCAGCCTCCTCAGCATGGGATTACAGGCATGCACCTCCACGCCCAGTCTCGGTCGCCTGCTCAGTGCAGCATGTGGTGCCAGGGATCAAACCCCAGTCCTTGCGCTTGCCTAAGCAGACACTTAGTCCACCAAGCTATCTCGCCAGCACTTCAAATGACAATCAATCTTATGAAAAGGTACTAATTCTACTAAGTAATAGACTTAAACACAAAAAAAAGCCTAAAATTCTACAGCCTGCTATTTAAAATCCTATTTACAGATAAAAGTGCACATCAGGAATTCTCATAAGCAGCATGGATCATTCACAAGTGAATTCTTGACATGTACAATTAAGTAACTCAACACAGTGCCGGTCAGAAAATGTGTGGCCTCCCAAGATGGCCTTCTCTTTGAGTGCCGCCTAGCCAGTATGTATAGAGTATTGAGAGGAAGTGCCACCTGGGAGACTCTATTGTGATCCCTGGCCGGGGAGGTGTGTCAAAGGCACAAGGTCCTCACTGTGCAGACTGCCCTGCTAATCTTCATGCCTTTATTGCCCGATCATCTTTAGGTGAGCATACAAGTAGAATAACAGTGACATCTAATGGCCATTAAGACACGTCACAGAGCACCTCTTTAAAATAGAACTGTATGCATATTACAGGTTGAAAGGTTAAATCAGGCAACTCCTCAACCACACATCGGAGGCTATTTTAAATTCCATGCACTGGTTGGCCCCGAGTGACCCGGATGACTATCAGACACCGCACTGCCTGTTGTACAAACAACATCTCATTTCATTATTCTGCATTAGTTCTACTACGTCCACTTAGCCCAAATAATGTGATGAGACTAAGCAGAGGTGGTACTAATAACCTGCCAATCATTTAAAATGGCCCTCAGCAGAATTCTGAGGCAACTTTCTGGGAAGAAATATTTGCGTTCTGCTCATCTGGAGAGCAGAAACGCACCGCCCTTGGTCAAGGGATCGGAGTGCGCATCATTCTCCTCCTCCCCACACAGCGAGGGGGCGTGGAGGAGCAGCAAGACCAGAGGGCTGCCCAGAGGTGCTCGACCAGGCCTTGCCACACAGGCGGGGAAAACGAGGGCCCTCCAGCACACAGGCCGCTCTCACCGATCCCCGCAGCCTTCAGAGTACTGTCTTCTTTCAACAGCAGTCTGTCGTCATCTTCCAAACTCAATACAAGTTCATTTGTCTACAAAGAAAGAAGACCTGCATTTTAGCAATACTGATATGCATTTCACATTTGGTAAGAATTCTCAAAGACAGGGAGTTATTACCTAAATACAAAGCACTAACCAAAGTTATACACCACTCCCACTACGGCAACGCGAGGAGGGAGCAGATACCCAGGGCTGTTTGCCACTGCAGCGCTATGCAAAAGCATGGGCTTCTGAGTCACACCTAGGTTCAAATGCAGGCTCCCTCAGTACCCGGCTGTGCGTCCTTAACAAACAGCAACACCTGGCTAAGACTCAGTTTCCCTGTCTTTAGGAAAGGGAGACAAATGCATCTTCCTCATCTCCTTTGGTGTGATGACGTAAGATGAAGGCTATAAACCTCAGTACATGGAGCAGGCACCTCCGTGCTGGCTGGCACTGTTTCCCTGGCATTGTTACCATCATCATCTCACGTCATCAGCGCAACAGCCCAGGAAAAAAAGGTAACTGTGAAGGCAGAGACCCAGTGTATGTGGCTACTCGGCGATGGAACTGAAGTCACTTTACCTCAACTGGCCTAACGTCTACAGATATAGTGGTGCCTTGGTTCATGAACTTAATTCTCCACAATTCTGGTCATAAACTAAATCAGATGAAAACTGAATCAAACCAATGGTTAGGTTCAAGGTTGATTTTACAGGAAATTTGATTTTGTTCTCATCCAATTCAGTTTGCAACTGGAATTGTGAAAAGAATTAAGTTTATGAACAAAGATACCATACCCAAGTTATAAAACCCTACCCAACTAAGCAAGGAATTGGTCCCATGTCATAGTAACTGTAGCAGTTTTCTGTGAAATTTGGAACGGACATAGATGAATTTGCTCTGTGATGACATTTACAAAGCTAGTTAGAAATCATAAAGATAGGGGAACATCTTGAGTTGGTATTGGCTTTGAACAGCATGGGGTGATTACCAGTTCAGCACACAGTACCACATGCCAACTAATTGCAGCTGTTTAGCCATGTATAAATATGGCCAAGATAGAGGCGGCACAAAGGCCTCTCCACTGCCAAAAATAGAAGCCCTAAAAGCTAGTGTCTATGTTCTGTGATTCAAGAACTTCATTCACTAGAGAGCACAGGGATTTGAACTCCACAGTGGGAACCTTTACTTAAAAAAAAAAAAACAAAAAAAAAAACCTCATTCTTAATAACCTGTACTAGTTTGATCCTCAGCCAGGTCACACACACACACACATGCACGCACGCACGCACGCACACACGCACACAAGTTACTTAGAATAGATAATACAAAATTCTTTAAGTACATATGGGTGAGTGTGAAAAAATTAAATCTTCTCTCAATTCCTATCCACCAGATACCTGTTTCTCCTCTAGAGAACTAAAACTAATTCCTGGGCATCCTTCTTGAATTTGCTCTGGATGTATAATGCACAAATAGCCTGTTAAATGCTATGTTCTAATTCCTTGTTTTCTCTTAAAACCTCATTCTGCACAAGTGAGATTCATTTCAAAACTTAAGGTTGCAATATATTTCACTGAAGGGACACACACACACACACACACACACACACAGTGTCCTTATCTGTGGACACTTTTTTTTCCAACATTTTTCTCTATAAATAATTTTGCAAATGAGTATCTTTAGACATACATTAAATTGCTTATGTTCAGTTTTATCATTCAGATAAATTCCTATATTTGCTGGGTCACAGAATTGTGTGCAAGTTTAATTTTAGCAGAGCCTGCCAAATAACTCTCCAGAGAAGCCACCCCAATTTACACGAATGCTACCAATCACTCTGAGTACCTGCTTCCCCATCCATTTGCCCACAGTATTCCCCAAACTCTCTGATCTTTGCCAATCTTATAACTGCAGATTACATGGAGTCTTAATTTTTATTTGAATAAAGCTATTCATAATTTATTTCACTTGCAGCTTTGTTCTTTCTTTTCTGCAATGCTAAGGATCAAACTCATGCTAAAGAATAAACTTTACCCTAAGCTACAACTATTTTTATATACTGAGGAAATTGAGTCTTTTCTAAAAGCTAGAAACAGTTCCCCCACCTTTCATTTATTCTTGGTTTTTCTTATAGTTTCTTTTCTTTTCTTTTGTGTCCTGTGGATTGAGCCCAGTGCACTGAGATACATTCTCAGCTCCTTTCTAATTTTTTTTTTTTTTTTTTTTTTTGCAACGGTTCTCATCAAGCCAAACTTGGCAATACTCCTGCCCCAGCCTCCCAGAAGCCTAGATTACGGGCACGTGCCATCACTATATCCGGGATGGCATTTCTTTTAAAAAAAAAATCCCAAATTAATTTTGATTGAATAAGTATGAAGTAAAATGTATGCTTTTATGCTTACCCAGTTTTCCATGGCCATTAGACGGGCTCTGGCCTGAGATTATTTTTTTAAATTCTATGTTTTCTTCAAATGTTTTTACTAATTTCATTTTTATATGTTAACTGTGGAAATTTTCAAAATTTTACATAAAGAGAATAATGCAATGAGCCTCCTCACTCCACACCCATCACCCAACTTGAACAAATTATTAATTTAGACTCAATCTGTTTCATCACAGTCCTCCTCATCTGTGGTTTTAAGTTTTATATTTGCATCATTAACCCAGCAGGAATTTATTGTGGCATAAAGGAAAAGATAAAGATTCAACTTAATTTTTTTCTAGATGTCCATCCAGATATTTCAGTACCATTTATTGAATCCCTCATCTTTTCCCAATAGATTTTTAAATGCCATATTTACCAACTGCCACATATATATGTGTATATGTATATGTATATGTATATGTATATGTCCATTTCTAGACTTTCAAGTTAGAACCGCCAAAATACCAGCTCATGTTGGAGTAGTACACCATTTTAATTACTATGGCTTTGCAGTATGTCTTAATCTTATATTAGGCAAGATCACTCATTGATTTTTTAGAATTCTCTTATTCTTATTTACCTTTGATTTTTTTATTAGTACATTCTTTTTTTTTATTTTTTATTTTTTATTTATTTGAGAGAGAGAGAGAGAGAGAGAGAGAGAGAGAGAGAGAGAGTGGTGTGTGTGTGTGGCCAGCTCAGCCCACCAGGGGGCGGGGCTGGCTGGCATGTGGTGCTGGGGGATTGAACCGCGGTCCCTGATGCTTTGCCAAGCTTGTTCTAAGTAGGTGCCTTAGACCACTGAGCCATCTCTCCAGCCCCTATTAGTACATTCTTGTGGTCCATAATGTTTACATTCTTTGTAGAGAGCTGGTATATCTACATAATCTTCCATACTCAGCATACACACACACACACACACACACACACACACCCCTACAGTATTTTATTGGGGTGGTCTTACATTTATAACTAGAGGAGAATCGAGATCTTCAACCTATTTCATGTTCTAGCATCACGTCTGGTGATAGCTATAATTACACTTGTAATTCCAGCACTCTGGAGGCAGAGAGAGAAGGATCACAAGTTTAAGCCCAGCCCGAATTTCATAGCAAGACTGTTTAAAAAAAAAAAAAAAGGAAAATATCCTCAGTATTTCTATATAAGTTTTAATTTGGATTCCTCATAGAGTGTTCCACTTTCTTAAAGTGCAGTAGACTTTAACATAACAAAATGCATAGATCTTAAGAGGAGCTCACTTTAAAGAATCTGGACAACTAATATGAGTTTATGTTCATCTTTTCAAGTGTGTTTGCGGAAGCTGAGTGGAAAAAAAGAACCAAACCGACACCATGCTGTACTCAGACACCATCTTAGAACTTAAGTTTCTGGGCCAGCGAGATAGCTCAGTGGTCTAAAGCACCTGCTTAGGCAAGCTTAGGCAGGCGCAGAGGACTGTGGTTCAATCCCCAGCACCAAATTCTACGCCAGCCCTGCCCTCAGGGCAGGCTAAGCCAGCCAAAAAGAAAAAAATGAAAATGAAAAAAGAACTTAAGTTTCTGTTCCCTTAAGTTTGCTTCTTATAAAGGTCTTCATAGTTACCTAACCTGATACCACCCCAAGCTTCGTCATAAGGCCGCTCCCTGCGTCAAATGCCAAGCTCCTCTGTTCCACTGTCACAAGCGCTGTAGTATCTCTATAGCTACACTGACCCATGTCAGCACCATCCATCCCCCTAGACGCTGAGCTAGACCCCGAACTAAAACTGTGTAGCTGTTCTCCCCTTCTGTCCCTTGGGGTTAGTACTTGGCCACACACTGGGGGCCCAGCCAGCATCCCCAATAAACCCACTTTTCTCTGCATCTGCCTTCTGCAGTGACTCAGGTAAGTAAGCACATTTGCTGCAACAGCAGCGTTAGCGAAGGGCACCCTTCTATTCTTAAAATTTTATTCTGGGTTGGCATGCAGCTTAGTGGTCGGGAACTTCGCCAGCACACACGAGGCTCTCTCTTTGCTACTTAAGTTTGCTTCAGTTCTCCCTTTTAATAAGAAAAATAAAATGTTCTTATTAAAGACCTTCCATATTTCTGACAAAGTTTATTCCATGATATCATTTCTCCCTTCCATATAATTTTAACAAGCATAGCTACCTGGTTTCCAAATATACAAAATACAGGATAGAACAAAAATAAAGCTTTTACTTCAAATCTTAATAGAAATTATTCTGACTCTCCGCAGCCTGACTATAACCCGTAATAAACACATTTTCTTGATTACCTCAGCACGGCTGCTGTATGGCCATTATGTACACCCTTCTCTGGAGTCACTGTCTCAACATTTAGCTCGCAGCCCAAGAGGAGGCCGAGGTGGGCAGGCATCCAGACGGCCTTCGTGTGGGATGGGAAGAAGGTGCTGAGAACACCTTTCTGCAATTATGAAAGTCTCTAGGCCCCAAAGATCAGGGAAAGAGAAGAAATGCCTTTCATAAGTGGGTCCACTAACATAAAAAGGAAACTTGGAAGTCTCTCCTTTTGGTTAATGAAAGAGCATAGTGCTAGGTGGGCTAAAACACTGAATCTGCCTAGCTGGAGAAGCTACGAGCCTGCGGGTGGAGAGAAGATTGAGGGGCAGTGACCGGCCTCTGGCAGCAGAGAAGGCATGAAGAGCGTGACGGCGAAGCTGCGAAACGCCATCTGCAAAAATACGTGGAATTCCCTAGAAACCTGCGGAATCACGCTCGAGGCATAAGGTCTGTGAGTAACTGGGATTGTTATGGTGGATTTATGAATCCAGAGTTCAAGAAAAGTCTAAGTGACTTAATTTGTTTTGTAAGTCCCTCCATAAGTAAATGCATTATTCAGCTTGAAAACAATTGGCCTTCTGCACACAGGCTTGGGCCTCTGTAGCTTCAACCGACTGCAGACTAAAACACAATGAGGCCTGTGATGCTCAAGCCTGTGCTGAATATGTAGACTTTCTTCCTTACCATTATTCCCCAAACAACAGAGTATAAGACCTATTCACACAGCACTGATGTTTTATTAGGTCTTAGAAGTAATCTAGAGATAATCTTAAGCGCACAGGAGGATGTGTGCAGGTTACACATGAATACTATGCCACTTTATTTAAGGGACTTGACGGCTGTGGATTTGGGTCCTGGAACCTATCCCAAGGGACAACTGTATACAACACAGCAGAGCAGAATGTGTGTCTCAGATATCAGGAACAGTCTAGGATTTTTCTCTTCTAAACTACAGATGGAGAATCTCCTGATTTTTTAGGTCATGACACTGGTTATCTGAATATGATGAATGAGCTTGTCATTCCAGCAAAAGGAAAATTTACTAACTAGTCCTTTCAGGAAACACAGGCCTAGGAACAAGCCCACCCAGGTGAAAATGCAGCACTGAAGAGAGACGACATGAGATGCTTTGCAACTTTTCCAAAAAGCAAAACTTTTCTTTCTACCTTTATTTATATTTTATAATATAGTCACAGATAGTTCTTCCCTATAAAATAGAACCACACTTCCTATTCTCTTTATTTTAGGAACCAAGATGAAAACACTCTTGGCCTGGTGAAAACAGACAAGATCTATGGCCAGATACAGCGACAGAACATTCCAGCAGCTATAAAAGGGGCCGTGCCACGCCTCAGCCCCAGACACACGTGGGCACATTTTGAGGTATTTGACAACGGATACATAAACAAAGAAAAAGAGAAAAACCCACAAGGTCACCGATGCACTGTGCCATCTTCATTGCGATCTGTGGTGTGTATTTATCTGAAAGCTGAATGCAAGGAGCACCTACAGGACTAAAGAAGGGAACGGAACCAAGCAAGTTCATAAATACTTCATTCAAAAGTGCTGTGGAGGAACTGTGAGCCAGCACTGCACTGAGCTTTAGAGGTACAAGAGGCTGAAGAATAAGACACGGCTTCTTGCCTTTGAGCACTTCCTCTAGTAAGATGGCTGCTTTAATGAGATTTGGAGAAAAGGACCACTCTATCAGTAATAGCAAGCCTTCGACTGTGACTTCATAAAGAAATTGCCCTAAAAAGGCCAGAAGACAGAGATGCAAGTGTGTGATGCACGCATAAACAAACAGCTCCACCAGGGAGGGCAAGACAACTTTAGAATTCCAGTGTGGCTGATGCAGAGTATGCTCGCTCTGCGGAGCGAAACCTTGTGCCAAATAAATAAATAAATAAAGATTAAAATGGAAAAAAGAAGAAGTCACCATCCTGGGCCTTCTACAGCCAGTGTCAAGACAATCAAATTAGGCATCTGCTTTCGACCCTTTTCTTCTAGTGCAGAACTAAGAAAGTCAAAAAGATCAGACTGCCAGATAACAAGTGGGTACTTTTATATGAAACCTCAATTTGCTTACTAAGTTATATGCTTATTTTTATGTAAAGATGTGCTAGATAAATAACACATGGTGTGCTTTCTGTTTTCATTAACATCTTTTCTAAAGGATGTACCACTACTTGCAGGCATATGTGACTTAGGTTTTATTTTTCTTTAGCAAGAAAGGAAGGCTGGAGAAAGGGAATCTACAAAATTAAAAATGCAACTATAATGGAAAAGATTTTAAATGACCATGAGCCCTTTCACTTATCAATTTCACTAATGATTACTGCTATGTGCAAGATACTGTGCACGGGGAACATACCTTTGACTTATGTGCCTGATGAACAATCTTTAGTTTATCTGAAAGAAACAAAAAAGGTGAGTCTTTGTACATATTACTTTCTTTTTTTTTTCAAAGTTTTATTGATAAACAGCAATGAGACAGTTTCAAATCAAATCGGAAGTACAGTTTCAACAAATAATACACTGCATATATACTTCTTAGTGGTTAATTGCAGTACAAGATGCAGACTTGTGATCCTA